AGTTCTTAAGAAGAGTCAGTAGTTGGAGGTGTGAAAAGTGGCAGCTCTAGCTCCAGAGAAGTAGAGAGAGGCTGATGAGTGATTAGGTGAGATCCAGGTTGAGGCGTGAACACAGTGAAGGCAGAAATATTTACTGGGAGATTGGCTCTGAGAGTTAGAAGCCAGAAAGGCATGAACATGACACCCAGGCCAGCTGCTTTCCACCCCAGCATCAGGCTACTGGAATATTCTGGCCATTGGGGACTTGCACGGATGCATCTCAGTCGTTCTGCTAATAACACAGGTGCCTCACCCAGGCCAGTTGGATATACAAAAAGTTGTGTTTATTCAACAGGTGAAATAGGGAACTGATTTGTCTCACAGAAAGTGAGGCCTTGAGATTAAAAGGGCCTTTGCCCATTTGTTCAAGCAACAGATGTCTTCTCTTGCCCCTACTTCCTGCCTTCCTGACCCACCTCCTCACAAAGGAGAAGATACCTCCTGCTGAAATCTGCCACACTTCCTCTTCTGCCTTCACCTTGCCCTGGTCTCTTCTGCTATTCTCCTCGCCTGATCTACCCAGCTCCTAGGCTCCCTCCCAAACCTTCTCCCTCTGGGCCCTTAACTGTTGTTGGCTGAGGCAGCCAGGCTTGGGTCTGGACCCACAGAGAGGTCCCACTGTAAGCTCCCTTCACCTGCAGGTACCAGAGTTTCCCAGGCTACTGTTGCTATAGGGTTCCCTCCCTATTTCTCATTCTGGCCCTCCCCCCCCCCCAATAAATGGGGTCAGCATCAGAAAGGAAAAGAGAACACATGGTTAAGGGTTCTAGCTCAGGGTCAGCCAGACTGGGTGACCCTCATTCTGAGGCTCAGACTTCACATCACAATGGCAACGGTAATAAAAATATTGCTTGAGAAGGTTAAGTCTCTGCATAGAACCAGACTGAATTGTTCCAGTACCCTACCTTGCTTACCAGGGCTGGAAAAGCAGATAGGATAAACTGTGGCTGACTTCCCGGTCCTAATGAGGACTTGATTCACTTCCAAGACTCTCTTCACTCCACAGCCATGTGCCCCCTCTTCAGCAAACAGTCCAACAAAGAGAATCAGAGACTTCTCTTCTAGAACTCCGAGAGTGTTTCTACTGGTGTTAACCAATTTGGGGCACGTAGTCAGAGGCCAGATTCCAAGTCAGAAAAAGCCCCAAACCTTCTTAAATTTCTTCTCCTTCTCTATAAAGAGGAGAAGCTGAGGTCACAAAGATTAGTAACTTATCCAAGGTCATGGTTAATGCCAGAGGGGAAAGGCCCCATGCACTTCCTCCCTTGCCAGGACAAGGCCATGTGCTGAATCACAGATTGTTCTTTGAACGACAGAGCCTTTTGAATGTCAGCTTAGATATTTGAAGCAAACTTGGATTTGAATTATACCACTGCATGGCAGGGGTCTTGGACCAATTACTACCCTTCACTAACAATCAAGTTCTTCACATGTAAAATGAATGCTATAGTCCAGAAAAAAAAAAAAAAAACTGAGAGCATTTGATAAATGTCTTGTAGTTGTCACCCACAGATGCAAAGAAGGAGCTCACAAGAACCGCTGTGGCTTGGGTATCAGGGACCATCTGGGTATCTAGAACCTTCTAGGTATCAGGGACCGTCTGGATATCTATGACCATCTAGGTATCTGGGACCATCTGCCTTCCTGTTCTCATGATCTCACAGAGCTGACATAGAGCTAGATATGCTGTCCTGGCTTGGCCCTGTAATTCTTGACCAGATCTCTTTATTTTTACTAAACATTTAATGAGTATTATGTAGAGAGACAGTATATATAATGACAATAAAGTAAACATATGTATTCCCCACTGAACTTAAGAAATAAGATGGGGCCCGGCGCGGTGGCACAAGTGGTTAAAGGTCCTCACCTTGCACGCCCGGGATCCCATATGGGCGCCGGTTCTAATCCCGGCAGCCCCGCTTCCCTTCCAGCTCCCTGCCTGTGGCCCGGGAAAGCAGTCGAGGACGGCCCAAAGCTTTGGGAACCTGCACCCGCGCGCATGGGAGACCCGGAAGAGGCTCCTGGCTTCGGATCGGCATAGTATCGGCCCGTTGCGCTCACTTGGGGAGTGAATCATCGGACGGAAGATCTTCCTCTCTGTCTCTCCTCTCTGTATATCCACCTTTCCAATGAAAAAATAATAAAAATAAATCTTTAAAAAAAAAAGAAATAAGATGCTATCTTTCCCCCTCTCTTTAGTCTCTCTCCCTGGTAATCATTCCCCTAAATTTTGCACTTATCATTTCCTTCCCTGATTTTAGCATGCATCTCAATAATATGCTCTTTAGTTTTATGTGTCTTTAATTTTTAAATAAATATGGGTGTGCTGTATCTACCTCTTTAGCTTGCCTTCAGATTTCCTTTGCCGTTAATCCATTGCTGCTGCAGTTGGCATTCATTCATTTTCACTTTTGGATAGTACTCCATCTTGTAACTACTCCACAATTCACTTCTTTGCTCTCCTATTAATTGGTAGCTGTTTTTATATCTGTTATGTAATACATAGAACTTTTATCTGTCATATATATTTTTAATTTGTTATATATATTTTATATCTGTAATACAATATCTAGGGCTGTTTTCCCCCACCTGTTAGATACAGCACTTCTGGGAAAACTTCTGCACATGATGTAGGTGCACACAATTAGCAGTGCTCTGCAACATCTGTAAAGCTCGGTCTTAGCTACATATGTCATCAAACTTATTAGATAATAGCAAACTGTTTCCACAGTGATTACAGCTAATGCCTTTATCATCAACATAGATGTAGACCTCACACATTTTTTAAAGTTTGGGATTGTCAGTTCTCACGTTAGTCTAGTGACTGATTAATTTCCATGTGCACTGTTTCATGTGGGTTGTGCCTGAGTGCCCATAGTGGTACGTTGCTGTAGTGTGCACTGTGGAACCTCGCTGTGTGGCCTCATTCCTGTCACAGGTCACCTGCGAAGGCTTGCTGTTGTCACCTTCCATCCTTGTGCTGACCCTCTTGGGTACGTTGGCCCTGGAACATGAGGCTACCACACATGTCCAACCTGGAAAAGCAGACTCTCATTTTTATCATGTCAGACTAAATACAGTAAAAAGAAGAAAGACGAGTGGCTGTAAAAAGAAAAAGCAGAAGTAGAGCCCTTGCCCGTGTCTTTTTCTCTGGGGAGTAAGTTGCCAGGTGCAGAGCAGAGTTGTTGGTGGAGAGAAAAGTCAAGTGGCACATGAGGTGCCCTGTGCAGTGCCTCAGATGGAGAGAGCAGATTGTTCTCCTCCCAGCCCAGAAGCCTGGTTTTCCTCAGCTTTGTTTGCACCATTCCCGCCTACCTGTGTGTTCTGCTTAGGAACTGAGAAAGAGAAAGGACCGGAGTCTAAGTCTCCTTGAGGATGCACTGCCAGAAAACTGAGCTGTCAGCCTGGGGGAAATAAAGGCTGTGAAAGGCCGCAGGAGGCAAGCCCTGGGGCTTTTCTTAGGACAATTTGCTGGTCAGGCCAAACAATGGTCCCACCTTCAGGGACCCTGAAGATTCTGCTCCTGAACATCTGGTCAGACCAGAAATTCTCAGGCACTGTGTGAACGCAAATAGTCAGGGTGGCCTGGAGCAACACCGAATCTCTGTCTACACAAAGAAGAGGTGCTGGGAAGAGGAGGAGGGCAAGAATTCACCCAGGAGTTCCACCACTGCCACTGCCATGCTGTCACCACTGCCTCTTCCTCATCAGTTGTCTGCTTCTCCCTCGGTCTGCAGCCAGACCTTGGGTCTGTGGAGGGAGTGGCAGGGAAGCCTTCCGCCTTGTGCTTTGTGGATCCTGCAGGCTTGGTAGAGGATTTTTCTCCCTCCTTGGCCGTGAGAACCATGCACCTTCCCTCACAAGAGGCGCTAACATGCCCACTGGCTGTTGGGAAGCAAGGCTAGCTTTGAAGGCAGCACCTGATAATTTTCTTCTTTTTGATCCTAATATGTCTTCTGCTCCCTGTGAGGCAGATACACCAGTGCTGTTCTGACCAGGTAGGAGGAAGTGTCCACCTCTGGATGGAACCTGTCCCTGCAGCTGCTGTTCCCTCCTCAGACCTCATCCTACATCTCTGTGCTCTGGATACCTCTAGATGTGGCTTGTCATTAGGTCTGATGGGGGTTGGAGGAGGGGAATGGAATAAGCAATGGACCGGGACAGGAGGGACAAAAGCAGGGAGGGGTAGGTCCTTCTGCCTGATGTGAGCATCGCATGGTTAGGAAGCTGTGAAATGTGTTCCCTGGGAACTTTTGGTTTTGTTTGGAAACATCTGGCTATCAGCAAGGTACCTCTGCATCTACCAGCAGAGAAGGGGGCCACGTGTCTTCTGAAAGAGGTCATTTCCTCTTTGCCAAGGATCCCTGGGACCTCCCCCGAAATGACCTTGTCCAGTTTGCCCAGCCTTTTTAAAGTAGCTCTCTGGGAATAGAAGGACTGTAACTCTCTGAGCAAACTGTTATCAACTGTGTCACTGCCACCCTCGTATTTAATGAAAACCGAGTCGGTGGAGTATGTGTGTGTGTGTGTGTGTGTATGTGTGTGTAAAGGAACAGAATGGAAAATGCCATTTTCAAGGAAAGGTTCTGTGAGTGGAAAAGCTCCTGGGTTCTATTGCAAAGGGGCAGATCTTCCTTAGAGACATTGGAACAGACTGGATCATTCTGCCTTCTTTCCGGCCCAGGACATGGCTGGTGACAGCAGCAGCACCTGTGGAAAGCAAGGCTCATACAGGCTTGGGATAAGCAGGAAGAGTGAGCAGCCAGAAACTCATCCCGATTAGCTTCTGCAAAGCTGATTATGACAGGAAGAGGACAGAAAGCAATTGTGTGCCCAGTAGGTTTCACTATTAAAGTTTACACAGCATGAAGTAATCGGTCAAACCGGCTGGCTCCCCAGATCACATGACTGTGTAGAAACTTGATTAGGCGCTCAGGCAAGTTTTACTTCTCCTGGGAGCGGGGTTTTGCCAGCAGCCCGTGCGCTCAGAGATCGGGCTCCTGTGACGCAGCCTGGGACAGAGGCTTTGCCGTGCTGAGCCCTCAGGGCGCCAGCAACTGCTCAGGCTCCCGCTGGATGTGACGAGTCTCTTAGAGTTACCGGGAACAATGGACAAGCTCAATAAAATCACTGTCCCTGCCAGTCAGAAGTTGAGGTAAGATTTCCCCCCACCAAACACTTACTCTTCTCTTCCTCTACTTTTGTTTTTTTATCCCACTCTTGCTGTATTTCAGCAATGTTGAATTCCTGGAATACTTGACCAGTTCCAAGGAAACGGGTGGCAATTGGTACACAGAAGTGGCCTGAGTTTCTAAAGAAATGCGTAGGAACAGTGAGCCTCCCCTAGCTGGCTTGCACCAAGCTTAGAATGAAGTAGAAAGCTCTACGGAGATTTAAAAAAAAAAAAAAAAAAGAAGGAAAAAAGGCAAGGCCTTGGATTGAAACTTTTCCAAAGGAACATTACTCTACACTGCATGCATGCTTATTTTATTGTTACTATTTAATTTTAAGGATAGTTTTATTTCTGTATTTTACAAGTATCTAACAGTGTAGCAGGGTCCTCGTATTTGTCTTCCCAATGCCCTCAGATCACTGTAACAATTACTTATAAAAAGCCACTTAGAATAAACCAGAAGGGCATGAGTCAAGCAGCTGCGGGAAAAAGCGACTTCCCAAATTTTAATTTTTGAAGTTTATTTTCTTTGCTTCATCATAATGACATCATGGATTTTGGAGATGGGACATTTTAACTGTTCCAGGAGTGTTTGATATTCCAGCTAACTTCACCAGTTTTTCACCACATGATGATCTGTAGCCGACTGGTAGTCACAACTAATTAGGAAATGGAAAATGGGCATCTTGGGGTTGAAAATGAAGAAAAAATAACTTGGACGTGGCAGAGGGCAACCATGTACAAGCCAGAATACTGGTGGAAGGAAGGAAAGAACTCTTGAAATCATGGAGGTAGACACAGTTGAGATGGATAGTGACTGAGAGTTGTTATGTAGTGCATTAAGACAAATAAGTGGGCTATAGATGTTGTTTCAGAGGCAGGTTGAAATGAGCTACTGGTGTGGCATCAGCAGCGGTTGCTGTCAGCCATTTCGAGGCATGGTGTTGAGTGAACAGCACGGTGAGCACTGATGGAGATGAGGATGTGTCTCAGTCAGTCTTGTAGCTGCTACACCCTTAGGAGGACATGGAGGAGGGAGGCAACACAACGGACATGGCGATTGACTCAATAGGTGCAAGAAAGAACTAGGGAGACTGGGAGAGCATTCCTGGAGGACATGCTTCAAGAGCTGGGCTTTGAGAGGCAAGGCCAATAAGAAGAGTGAAAGATGTGCTGTGTGCTGGGAGGAAGGAAGGCAGAAGTTGACACTCAAAGTGAGACAGCAATGTGGTCCAGCTGTGGGGCAGGAGGAGAGTTTTTCTGCACACAGGGGCTGTAGAGTGGACTATGTGGGACCTAGAGCCTGATCGGTTTTTGTGGCTGTGTAGAGTGAGACCCACTCACAAGGGACAGTGAGCAACCATGGTAGCAGGCCAGCAGGCTATGTTGTTAGACCTACTGGTTTAAGAGAAATGCACAGGACAGATTGGAGGAGAAGGGAGCCTAGAAGCAGGGGTATTAGTGTAAGCCAGGTGAGGAAAGCTTGACTAACTGCAGCATCTAGAGTTACAGATCTCTGCCTGGGTGCCACAGTGAGAAAGGAAAGAGAAGCAGGTGACACATGGCAAGGAAACAAACAAGGAATGGATGCAGGACTTCTCTCAAATGAAAAAGAGAATTCCTAAGGCCCTTAACAGATACATTCTTTAAACTAAAGCTATTGTAAACCTAGAACTTATTCCAGGAAACCCAGATGGGACTCTAACTAAAAGCAATAGAGTGTAAATTATTTTATGATTCCTCTCTCCGGGAACAAAGTCCAGCTTGATCACAGAGTTGTTGAGAGGCAATGGACAACCATAGATTATAGGGAAGAAAACCAAAATTATATTGTGGATATCATACACAACACTCAGCTGCTTAAAGTAACTTCTCTTTCTCCACGTGGTTATATAATTGTCTTTACAGAATGACCTGTTTAAGTAGCATGTGCACTGTTGACGTGTAACTTTTCAAAGAAGTGAGATTTCAAACAAATAGATATAAAACTTCATCTTAAATCTTTTCTGTAAATAGGAGGAATGGCAAGGTGGCAAGGTATTCAACCCCTCACCCCATGAGCTGTGTCCTCTTCCCTTATTGGTTAATGTCAATTCAAAGAGTTGCCTACCTAGGCAATTATTTAACACTTGAAGACAGCATAATTAGAGAGCTCTGTTGGTATTCTTGAGCTTAGCCAGTCTTACATGGGAATTTGCTCAAATTCTTCGAGTAGGAAGGAATGCCCTGATCCTGGATGCTGAAGGAATGATGAACAGTTTCAACTAAGGAAAGGAAGACAGGCCTTCTCAAAATGAAGGAGATGGTCACAGCTGGATATGGGTAATGACCCTGAGAGTTTCTGTGTAGAATTGAGACAAAGAAGGTGGCTTCCTTGGTGACCACAGAGGTATGTGAGATGATTCTCACTTTTTTGCCCCATGTGGCACCACTATGTGAAGTAGGCTTCTATGTTGGTAGTTCATAGGCTCCCCTGTTCTTAGCTGTGCTTTTCCCTTGCTTTGATAATGGAATGATATCAGAGAGCTAGATTCTCAACCCTTGCATTATGAACAGTCCTATAATCATGAAAATTGCACACTTAGGGGTGAGCATTTCAAAATTCACATTCAATATTACTGAGATCATTTCAATATTCACTGAAAACATTCTTCCCACATTCTATTTAAATTAATTTTAAAAGTCAGTTTTAATTTCCTAATTGACTTGCCCTCTATTTTTATTTCTGGAGCACATGCACATACCCACTAATTTTTATAAATAGAAAAGGTCTTTGCCACAAGTGTGTGCAAATTACCAATTTCCAATATTACCTTACTTGTTAAAGAATCATTGATTTTTCAGTCAGACAAACCAATGTTTGTCTGATTCAAGGCAAATTTATTTAAACTCATTGGTCCTATTCACCTGTAAGATAAAGTGGATCACTACAGTATCAATGTCACAAGGATAGTGTGTTAAATAGCTTGCTATTGACAGGTGAAAACCATGTGACAACATGATCCTGGCACATTGTAATTAATGGATTTTAAATTAGCATTTACAGATATTATAACTCTGGAATTGTGCAATTGCTTTTCTGTTTGTAAACAAAGGACTTTACACTCATCTTTGATAAGTTGTTTATTAGTTTCACTTCTTCTTTCTGGCTATTTTGATGATCACATCTATTGATTCTGACAGCTGTGACATTTAGCTTTGTGTGGGGTGCAGGTGTAGCAAACATCCCTTGTCTGTCTTCATCTAAGACTGTGGAGCAGGACAGAGCCCTTTCTTGGGTTTCTGGGTCTCACTTCCCAGGAATGTCATTTGACAAGTGCTAGGATGTGCTTTCTCTTCTCAGGTCTTGGAATTTCCAATTGGGGTTCCCAATCCCTTGACTTTCCAAGTCTTCGGAATAATTTCACCTCCTTCTGTCCTTTCCACCACCAGATCTTTCTTTTTCGCTCTCTTTCTCTCTGTTTCAGTCAGTAGTATCACAACCCTTAACTCTGACTCATCCTTCTCTCTTCAACTCCCTTACACCCACTCACCTACCACGCCCAATTTTTCCTCTGGGAAACTTGCATTATTTGCCTTTTTGTCTCCATTTCTGCCACATCAGCCTGCCTGGGTCCTCATCTCTCCTGCATGCCCATCTATAAGATGAACTTGGACTCTGCAATTCCTCAGGCCCCTTTCAGCTCTGCTGCTATATTAGAGACCATAATATATATAATATAATATGATATAATATAATATAATATAAGCCAAATATATAGATTATATATACCATAATATATAAAATAATATAATATATAATAATATATACCATAATATATGTATATGTATTATGGTCTCTCTATATATAATGTCTTCTATAGATACCATTGTATTCCATGGCCCAAAGGAAATATCTATGAATATATATAGTGTCAATATAATTGGAGTCCAGAGGGCTGACTCTAGCTACCAACTATTAATTGTGAGTCCTGAAGAAGTCCTTCAATCTGTTTAAGCTTTAATTTAATCAACTGTCTAATGAAACTAAAGATATCTTCCTTACAGGCTTATTGTAAGGATCACTAAGACTGTGTAGGCTGAAGTACACAGAATAGTATTTGCCATTTGGTCAGTACAACAGGTAAATAAAAAAGCAAACCCAACAACCAGTATGTCAAGCCCACTCAGGTGAGTGCTTGTTTGCTGTCTCTGCCTCTTCCATTAATGGCTCTGACTCCATTGTAGTGGAGGGACAAGCAGAGCAGGGTGCTGCAAACGAGAGGCACAGCATCCAATGGCAGACAAGATAGGCACCCCAGGTAGTCTGGCTTCCCATTTCTGGGAACTGCCTATCTGAGCCTTCTTGTGTCACATCAATGGGTAGATACTCAAAGAAATCCATGACTTGTAAGTTCGATCCAATGGCCAAATTCTGGATAAAGCTGGACAAGTCCTGGAGCAGAATGAGTTGCCCTGATACCATAACCTGGTACATTGTATAAAAGACAAACCTAGGAGAGGAGGGGAGGGGATCTGTATTGGTCCGTCTTTTGACATCTTCTCAGTCAGTGGCCACACAGCATAGATAGGCAACAGTTCTCCCAACAGCCAGGACAGTGTTCCTGAGACAGTGGTGCATAGTTTTTGAAACTGATGGGTGAGTTTAGAAGGTATAATCTTTCTTTTAAAGAATCTATTCCAGCTCTACTATGAAGCAATTCACCATCTTCCCTCCTATCCTCATCCAGAGCTCAGAAAATAGGTTCTGTGGCTCTCCTGTGTGTGTGTTATGGATAACGATGGAGAAGTAGATGTAAGAGCTCCAGGCTGTTGTGGAGCTGTTGACTGTTGAATTCATTCATGCGGGATCCTAGACTCTGCCTCTAAGTTAACAGGGCTGCAATTCTCTTGCCCACTATAGGGACAGTCTCATCAAGAGACTTGGCCACTCAACCTATGCTCTGTTTCTGAAGCACAGCAAACATAGAGGTTGCCCCTCT